ACTTAGTCATGCGACTAAATTTTTCTCAATAAAGAAGCAGCCACCGGAGGTACTTTTTCGATCATCAGCGTTACCAGCCCAGTCTGTGCCACTGAAGCCTAGAAGACTCAAGTTAGTATCATTCGAAAACCAAATGCCATAATTTTGTGTACCTTTCACATATTTACCTCCAATGGTCCTCCGAGTATTAGCGATTTACCAACTGTGATCATCCGAGTTTTAAATGACCTCCAATTGTCCTCCATGTTTTAAAAAATAACCACCCGTGGTCTATTTAAGAAGTCTCGTGGTCATTTAAAACATGGAGGACCATTAGAGGTCATTTAAAACTCGAATGACCACAGCTGGTAAATTGCTAATACTCGGAGGAACATTGGAGGTATTAACTCTTTAATGATCTGTTTGATAGCTTTGAGGTGAGACTCTTTCGGATCTGCTTGTAATCTGGCACACATTCCAAGACTTAGCATAATGTCTGGACGACTTGCAATCAAGTAAAGTAGGCTTCCTATCATACTCCTGTATAGAGTAGGATCAACCGGTACACCAGATTCATCTTTGATCAACTTTGAAGATGTTGATATGGGGGTTCGGGCATCTTTAGCTGATTCTAAGCCAAATTTTGTTAACAATTTTTTGACATACTTTTCTTGAGATATGAAGATAACTTCATTGGTTTGATGTACCTGTAAGCCTAGAAAGTAGGTTAGTTTGCCAATTATACTCATTTCAAATTCCTGTTGCATGACTTTGACTAGTTGATCTATAGCACCTGTCTGAGTAGAGACAAAAATAATGTCATCAACATATACCTGGGCTATAGTAACATGTTTACCCGACCTCTTGATGAACAAGGTTTTGTCTACTCCCCCTCGATTGTAGCCATGCTGGAGTAGATACTGAGACAGTCTCTCGTACCAAGCCCTAGGTGCTTGTTTTAGGTCGTACAGAGCCTTGTCCAGTTTGTAAACATAGTCATGATGATGCGGATCTTCAAATCCTTTTGGCTGGGCTACATAGATAACTTCAGATAGATACCCACTCAAAAATGCCGTTTTGACGACCATCTGGAATAACTTGATTTTTAGCACACAAGCGATGGATAAGAGAAGCCGGATGGATTCCAAACGTGCTACTGGAGCAAACGTCTCGTCATAGTCAATCCCTTCGATTTGGGAGTAACCTTGAGCAACTAGTCTTGCCTTATTGCATGCAATGTTGCCAGTTGAATCAGTCTTTTTACGAAATATCCACTTGGTACCTACAACATTAACACCGTCAGGTTTTGGTACTAAATTTCATACCTTATTTCGCTCAAACTGACCCAAATCTTCTTGCATGGCCTTGATCCAGTGTTCATCAATTAGAGTTTCTTTTACGGTTTTGGGTTCTATTTTTTACGTATAGCATGCATATTCAGCCAGTTGAAGATAATCGTGTTTAGGCCTGCCCCTCGTTCGGACTCCAGAGGAGGGATCTCTAATGCTATTTTGAATTGGATGGTGCTTTTGAATTCGGGTAGGAACATCAACCTCTCTAGGTTCTGGTTTAGACTCAGATTCTGGATCACTGTTTGTTTAAGGTGGTACTGGATCAGGATCAGGTACGGCTGGAACAATGTCAGGAGATTTTGGATTATTTGTTTTAGGGTCTAGCGTAAGTCCAAAGATAGGAACTTCGATTATATTGTCTGGTTGATCATCAACTACGTGGATCTTGAATGCAAGTGATAACCTAAATGGTTCGTTCTAAATTTTAATTTGATTGTTAACCTAGACTAGCTTTAGGATCTACGCTAGACAGAATAAAGAACAATTACAAGAAATATAAAAGGAACCAGACACCAAGAGATGTTCACGCAACTCGGAGCCTCACTCCTACATCTGCGGGGCCACTCACGTTAGCCCAATTCACTAGATGATCAACAAGGAGTACAAGGGGAGAGTATATTACACACTACAACATAAACTACTACTACTCTAGCGCATCCTTCATCACCACAATGGACTCAACGTGCAGGCTATCTTCACCACGACATGAACCAGTTGAGAAACCTTCACCACACGAGAATATTGATAGAAAAAGCCAGTGGAGGATTTGAGGAATAATATGGAGAGTTTAATCCTTCAATCTTCGAAATAATAAGAAACCCAAAAAGGCTATTTATAAGAATAAAATGATAACCTCTTGGTCTGAAAATGTGCAGCTACGAAATCCTCAAGATAAGCTGCACCACATGATTTAAAAGACCATAGAAATAAGGTCTGAATAATCTTGTATGTTTGAACGAGTTTCTCCCTTTCTGAACTGCATCCTGACGCTGATCCAGGCAGAGTGTGCTGAAACAAAGACTCGACTGGATCTAGAGCCTAATAACACTTAGAATTTTGACAACTAATAATGTCAACCAAAATTGAGTTTTATGTGTAACTTTTTTTACACTTATAATTCTAATGTGGGCCACTGACACAATCATGTGCAAGCTATTTATTTTTTTTTTGTAAACTCTAAGTAAAATAACTCAATGCTGGTTCACAAACTTAGTTGGAGGGGTCGATCGACTCTTTTTATGATCTCACAATTAAGTTCACTACTCATTTCATGAGAAGAAGGAAGTTTATGAATCACTTCAGCTACCTAGCTATCGTTAAACAACAAAATTTGACAAAACTACGGCCGATTTCTTAGCCTGGTGGCAAGTGAAAGCGGTAGAAGTACGAGGGATGGATGATAGGTTTGCCATTGCTATGTTCATTGAGGCCCTTAAGGGTATAAGATATACAAAAGTCTTAGGAGAAAGGCTACAGCCAATTACTTAGCCATGATGGCTAAGGTTAAGCGATATGGCAAAGTTGAAGAGGCGAACTGAACTAAAAGGCAAGAGGAAGAAGGGTAAACCAAAAGACCCCAAATGAAGAAACCCGTCAAACTAAATGGAAGAGTGTCAAAATAACCCATGAAGTCACACAGAACGAAACAAGAGGGTCTAGGAGCATGACCACTGATCCCAAAGGGACCTCCGAGGTTACTCCAGCCAATGCCCACGACATAAATACATTTAACACCGTTAATTGCAGTCTAGGGAAGTGTTAGCCTACTCTGAGGAGTGCAACAAGGTGTGGTTACCGCCACCATCCACCGTGAAGTTTCCCAAAATCAATAAGTCTAAGTACTATCGATTTCACAAGTGATATGGGTACACCGATGAGTGTCACACCCTAAAAGGAAATCAAACTCCTAATACAATTGGGGGAGTTGGAAAACTTCATCCACTAGAACAAAAATGGCAAGAAGGAACATATAGAAAATAGGGGATGCGACTTGCGAGACCATTATCAGGATCTCCCAAGAAGGAAGGAAGAGACATTATCCAAGGGCAACAGAGAGTTGATCGATTAGTGCTTAGGTGGAGGGAAGGCAACAAAACGAGGAATAAAAAAAAAACAAGAAAAAAAGGGAGAAGAAATGAAAAAATCCTATTAGGCTCGCATGTAGGGAAAATGATCCAATTGGTCCACATGCAATGAAGGTGGTAGAAAATCCCTATTTGACCTGCGTGTAGGAAAGGTAGTCCAATAAGTTCGCATGTAGAAAATGCAATACAATATCCCTATTAGGCCTGTATGTAGGGAAGGCCGTATAATAAGTCCGCACATAGGAAAGACCTCATATTAGCCCTACATGTAAGGAATGCAGTCCAATAGGTCCGCACGCAAAGAAAGCAACAGAAACTCCCTATTAGGCCCACATGTAGGAAAGATGATCCAAATGGTTTGCACGCAAGGAAATCGGGAGAAACTTCTTTTTAGCCCCCATGTAGGGAAAGTGGTCGAATAGGTCCACATGTAGGGAAGACGGCAGAAATCCCTATTGGACCCACGTACAGGGATAGTGGTCTAATAGGTTAGCACAGAGGGAATGCATCAAAAATTTCATATTAGGTCTGCATGCAAAGAAGGGGATCATTATTCTACGGACCATGGTCAACACAGCTCTGTAGACCACAAATAAAAAGTACATTATTTGAGTATTGAAAGTACATTATTTTGTATACTGTCAAATAATGTACATTCAGTACACATATAATGTACTTTTAGTATATTAAAAGTGTATCTTGTATTCATGCAAAGTACATTATTTTGTATACTAGTATCAAATAATGTACTTTTAGTATATTAAAAATGTAACTTGTATTCATGTTAAGTACATTATTTGAGTACTTAAAATACATTATTTGAGTACTGAAAGTACATTATTTTGTATACTATCAAATAATGTACATTCAGTACACAAATAATGTACTTTTAGTATATTAAAAATATACCTTAGCTTGTATTTATGGTCCACATAAAATTTGCCTAGAGAAGGTAGTCCAATAGGTTTACACACAAGAAAACCACAGAAACTCCCTATTGGGCTCACACACAAAGAATGAAGTTCAATAGGTCCAAAGAAGGCGTCAAAAACTCCCTATTAAGGGAGAGACACTATAAAAGGGTGCCCTTGCCCCTCTCATCCCCCACCCGCACCCACCTCTCTCTCTCTCTCCTCTTTATTATTTACTCTCTGACCTAGTCATTACAGTAGTGTTTGAATCTTACAAGAAGTGTGCCCTTAGGACTTGAACCCCAAGTCAGGACTTGACACACTTTACTTGGGTTTGGACCCATGTTGAGCGTCTTTATTATTTACTCCGTATTTATTTGTAAGTCTAGTTGTTAATAATATTATTATACAAGCCTAGCATTCAATTAATATTGTTCTTATTTTTTAGTAATGTTAATTATTCTTATGTTATTTCTATTGTAATAAGTTTATTATTTTATGTGGTGCTAGTCTGTTTGAGTTAGACTAGGTTATTAGATAGGAGCAGGTTACGTTATCTATTCCTTTTAGTATTGTAACTTCTATCTTTAGTAATTCAATTTTGAAATTCCCTTCTCATCTGGTATCAGTTCAGCTTTAGGTTAGATCCTCTTGTTTTCTCTCCACCACCCAAAATGTCGACTAACTCTTCTGAACGAACTATCACCACCACTGCCCCACCATCGGCTACCACTTCCAATCCCCTCTCATCGACACACCACTTTGTGTCGATTAAATTAACCTCCAGGAATTACCTATTTTGGCATACACAGCTCGTCCCGTTCCTTAAGGGTCAAGAGTTACTCGGGTACGTCAACGGCGAGATCGAATGTCCACCAGCGACCATCGCCTCCTCCCCTTCCGGTGAATCTGCATCCGGCGTGGCAACCACCGGGCAAGTCCCGAATCCGGCGTACAGGTTATTGGTGAAGCAGGACCAATCCATCGTGTCGCTTCTCGTCTCCTCTATGTCCGACGAGGTGTTACACCTTGCGGTCGGCCGGAACACGGCGAAGGAGGTCTGGGACTCCATCACTGCCGCCTTGAGGTCTAGTAAGCGCACTCGCTGCCTCAATCTTCTTGGGCAGTTCCAGTCGCTGCGACAAGGGAACTTCTCACCGGCGGACTACATCGGCCAAGCGCAGCTCCTCGTCGAAGCTCTAGCGCTCGCCGACCGTCCTCTATCACTCGATGAGCAGAACTTGTGGGTCTTCAGAGGGCACCGGCCGGAGTTTAGATCCATGGCGGCCTCTCTTACAGTGAATGGTAATCCGGTCTCTCTTCCCCAACTCGCTGACTTTTTACAGACATAGGAGTTCATCTACTCCGATGAACTCCCGACGGCGATCGTTGGCGGCACTGCAGGTGGCGGTCCTCCGACAGCGATGTATGCAGGCCACGGCAGAAACCGGTCCTCTGATGGCTCGTCCGGTGGTCGACACGGCTCCAACAACCAGGGCCGTGGTCGTGGCGATCGGGGCGGACGAGGCCGTGGCGGACGTGGTGGCGGGCAACTTCAATGTCAGATCTGTCGGGCGAACAGTCACTCGACAGTTTATTGCTATAAAATATACACCACGCAGCTACCCACGAATGGACACTCGGCGAACTTTGTGGTCTCCGGCGATGAGGTGGTGTCGATCGGCGGTTGGTTCCCGGACACGGGGGCGTCGGCTCATGCTACGCCGGACGCCTCCACGATGACGCAATCCGTGGACTACAATGGCGGGGACGTGCTCCGAGTCGGTAATGGTACGGGTTTAAATATTTCGCATGTTGGGTCCACATCTATTCCTTCTAAGTCTAAATTGTTACGTATGTCAAATGTGTTACATGTGCTAAATTTGTCTGTCCCGTTGTTATCAGTTCAAAGACTTACTAACGAAAATAATGTTTTCTTTGAATTTCATAAAAATTGTTTCGTTGTGAAGGATTCGATAACTCGGGCAATTCTACTTAAGGGACCCACTTCTGGCGGTTTGTATAAGCTCCCGTTACCGTAGTCTCCTTTTGCTTTCATTACTTCCCGTACCACTCCCGTGAAGTGGCATCGCAGATTGGGCCATCCTCACAGTCAAGTTCTCAATAAAGTGTTGCAATTCTGTCCGGTTGATCGGAATAAGTCCAAGTCCACGAGTTCGTGCACCACGTGTCATCTCGGGAAAGCCTCTCGTTTTCCTTTAGATAGGGTGTTGAAATCTAGTGATAATGTACTGGACTTGTTGTATACGGACATCTGGGGCCCGACCCCGGTTCTTTCTAGTTGTGGTTTTCGCTATTTTCTTTTATTCGTCGATGATTGTACTCGTTTCTGCTGGTTTTATCCCTTACGGGTGAAATCATATATTTATAAAGCTTTTGAATTGTTTCGGGTCGCGGTAGAACGCCAGTTTGAGCGTTCTATCAAATCAATCCAATCAGACCTAGGGGGTGAATATCAAAAACTACACAAAATATTCCAAACTCTTGGCATTAGCCACAGGCAATCCTGCGCCTACACCCATGAACAAAACGGCAGGGTTGAGCGCCAGAACAGACACATAGTTGAAACCGGGCTCGCTCTCCTTGCCGAAGGCTCAGTACCCCTTGAATATTGGGATTATGCCTTCGAAACAGCCACAACCCTCATAAATTACCTACCTTCGTCATCATTACAGTTTCAGAGTCCATATTACCGTCTATATAAAACACCTCCACCTTACAATTTTCTTCATGTCTTCGGGTGTAAGTGTTACCCATATCTGCGCCCTTACAATAGGCACAAGATAGAGTATCGCTCAACCCCATGTGTCTTCCTAGGTTACCCACCGTCTTATAGGGGTTATAGATGTCTGGACCCAGCAAGTGGAAAAATTTATATCTGTCGCCATGTCCGGTTTGACGAGTCTATTTTCCCTTTTTCAGACTTAATAATGCAGGACACACCAAAGTAGCCTGATCAGTCTATGCCTTGGGCATCCGGGTCAGTTGTGACACATCCGACCCTGCCTCTTGAACCTGTTCCGCCCCCTCCAGGGCTCACTCCGCAACTTCAAGAACTCGCACCGCTGGCCATTGAGGGTCCCACACAGACGTACGGGCTAGAAAATGTGGTCCTCGCAAGCCAGTGCCTCAAGACCGTGGCCATGTCATGCGCCTACGTCACATGACTCAGGGCACAAATGAGCAGTTTCAGGCCTTAACTGCCAATACTGACCCAACATGTTACTCGCAAGTTGTGGGCCACTCACAGTGGCGCGATGCCATGGACCAAGAGTTCAATGCGTTGCTGCATAACAGTACTTGGAGGCTAGTACCACCACATCCAGACATGAATGTGATTGGGTGCAAATGGGTCTACCGCACCAAGCGCACTGCTGATGGGTTAGTTGAGCGCTACAAAGCACGGCTTGTAGCGAAAGGCTTCAATCAAGTCGTCGGGGAAGATTTCTTTGACACCTTCAGCCCGGTAGTCAAGCCGACTATGGTCCGACTACTCTTTTCCCTTGCTGTGTCCAAAGACTGGACGCTACAGCAGTTAGACGTACACAACGCCTTTTTAAACGGCCATCTCGCTGAAATAGTGTATATGAAACAACCACCGGGGTATGAGGACCCCACACATCCGGACTATGTCTGCCATCTTCAGCGCTCTCTGTATGGTCTCAAACAGGCCCCCCGGGCTTGGTTCAAGAGACTACATGATTTCTTGGTTTCTGCAGGTTTTCTACCATCCAAAACCGACGTCTTTCTGTTCCACTACACATCAGGAGAATCTCGGGTCTTCTTCCTCGTCTACGTCGACGACATTATTATGATAGGCAATGATTCGGCGCTGCTCGACGTCATGCTCAAACGTCTTCTGTAGCGTTCAAGATCCAGGACCTCGGGACACCAAGTTTTTTTCTTGGTACAGAAACGCTGCGAGTAGACGGAGGCCTTCTTCTATCACAGAGACGGTACATGGGTGATATTCTCAACCGGGCTGGGATGACAGATTGTAATCCCCTAACAACCCCAGCTGCCGTGTCCCAAGCCGTCAGTACATCGTCTCAACCGCATGAAAATCCGACTCAGTATCGACGCATCATTGGGGCCCTACAGTATCTGACTATCACTCGCCCTGACTTGTCTTACGCCGTCAATCGCCTCTGTCATTTCATGCACTCACTTACGGATGAGCATTGGGTGCTTGTCAAGCGGGTTGTGCGGTATGTCAAAGGGACTTTGGACTATGGGTTGCGTATCTCCTCTTCTGCGTCCACGACTATTCATGCCTTCTCAGATTCCGACTGGGCCGGCTGTCCGGTAGACAGGAAGAGCACTAGTGGGTATGCTGTTTTCTTGGGCGACAACCTCATCTCTTGGCTCTCGCAGAAGCAGCGCACCGTTGCTCGTTCGTCCACTGAGGCTGAATACAAAGCCTTAGCCGATGTCGCAATAGAGGTCACTTGGGTGGTATCTCTTCTTCGTGAGCTTGGGTTACACTCCGGTCAACCATCCACTCTATGGTGTGAAAATTTAGGTGCCACATATCTCTGCGTCAACCCCGTCTTCCACGTCAGGACGAAGCATGTTGAGATCGACTACCATTTTGTACGTGACAAAGTCGCCTCCGGGGAATTTATTGTCAATTTTGTGTCCACTAAAGATCAACTTGCAGACATCCTCACCAAACCATTACCGGGACCACGCTTCACTGCTCTCCGAGGCAAGCTCAATGTTGTCTTGCACCCACCTTGAGCTTGAGGGGGTGTGTTAGTAATGTTAATTATTCTTATGTTATTTCTATTGTAATAGGTTTATTATTTTATGTGGTGCTAGTCTGTTTGACTTAGACTAGGCTATTAGATAGGAGCAGGTTACGTTATCTATTCCTTTTAGTATTGTAACTTCTATCTTCATTAATTCAATTTTGAAATTCCCTTCTCATCTTATTTTTCTTCGTTCTATTTATATTTTTACTTGATTTTATTATGGGATCGATCTTGAAAAATCATCAATTTTAAACTTTTTTGAGTACTACCGACTCTAATAAAATGTAGTATCTGTTCATCATCAATTTTAAACTTAATTATATTATATTTGTTATTAATTTAAAAATATATAACTGAATTGTAAGAAAATACGGAGTATTTTTTTTTTAATATATAAATGAAATAAAAAAAATCCGGAGTATCAAATCAAATAGCAAATATGGCAAACGAAATAATGGCCACCGACGCTCCACCCCTCTCTTTCACGATTGTAATTAGTTTTCGTTGCAATAGCAAATTAGCAATACAGTGGAAAATTGATTGATATTTTTATCTTTAAAAAAAACGTACGAAAACAAATTTAGATATTATTGTCCATCCCAAAAAACTCATATTAGTTGTATTTGCCATGATTATTTTAAAAACAAATAAAATATTCTTTTGGCAAATGCTTTTTTTTTTTTTTTTTTTTTTTGTCTTTTTCAAATTTACCCGTAGCCCGTAGGGGCCGGGTGCCCTGTTCCTTTCAAATCAAATGGAATTAATAACAATAATAAGTGATGAAAAGTTAAAACAAATATTTAAAAAGACAAAAATATACTCATTGGGGGTGGATGATCGAATTGTTGTGAATTTTTTTAACTTATTCAAAAAACCGTGTCAAGAAAATTTGTGTATACAAAAAAAAAAAAAAAAAAAAAAAAAAAAAAAAAAAAAAAAAAAAAGACATGAAACTACTAATCAAGAATAAGATTTAAAAACAATAAGATTTCATATTCAACTCCCTATGAGAGCGGCTTATTAGTCTTCTCAATTTTAGCCGGTCAGCTATGAACAATGTAGGTTCACTCAAAGCGCACATTCTCAAACGGTTATAGAACTCACTTAGGGTGTGTTTGGTTCGCACATAGGAATCAGAATCGGAATAACTATCAAATACTTGGTAATGGTAATGGGATTTGGTGAAAGTATTTAACATGTTTGGTAGTAGGGTGGAATAGGAATGGTTACTAATAGTAATGCTTGAAAATGAATAAGGGAATGAAACCCTTATTGTATTTGGGTATGGGTTTTTCAATTGATGGGGTATTCGAAACCCATAGTAGTGCTCTAAAAACCTATCAACCAAACAACAACAATCACTTTCATACACATTCCTATGTGCAAAACTCACCAACCAAACACACCCTTAGAGTGCACATTCGGTAGTATCAACATGCAAATTATATTAAATCATACAAAATTTTATAATTTTAGATAAAATCATTAATTTATTTGTGGCATCTAATTTTAATATCATTTGAAGCTCAATGATTACCAACATCCTTGGTATAAACAATGAAGCAAATGGAGTTTTTATTATTATTATTATTATTTAAAAAAAATAGCAGACGCTTCTGGTAGTTTGCTAATATATAAAGGAATAAAAGCTACAAAATTGACAAATCTTAATTTATAATAATATCCCTTAATAAATAAATTGAAAAAAGGGGGTTTTCAGGAAACATAAAACAAACAAAAAGGATGGAATTTAGATGCTCCACCAAAATACAAACACATGAGGTTTGGTCCGTTTGGAGAATCAAATATAATTTATAAACAAATCTGAAGTAATATATATTGGGTAGGTATGCAAAGACATATAAAGTCAAATTAAATATTTTTTATAACGGTAAGGAGTGATTGACCTCCAGGGTATCGCCTTTTATACTGAAACACAAAGAACCAATAACGCCTCTACTAAGGCTCAAACTCATAACTTTCCAAATGAAAGTCTAACCCAGTTACCATTAGACCACATAGTCCTGGTTGGCTTCCCCTTATTCCAAAAAAAAAAAAAGTAAAAATAAATAAAAAAAAATATATAAGGGTTGTACTGGCAAATTATACTGTGTACCAGGGCGTACAATGCATTGTGCGTCCTGGCCAAAAACGACGTCGTTTTGGACCTTTTCGCGTGTCTATTGTTAACTCCTTAAAACAATTCATGTTTAAATGTACAGAATTGTATAATAGAATACACAGAATTTTATACCTGAAAACACAAAATTTTATACCTGAAAACACAGAATTTTATAACGAAAATTCACATGTTTCAAATATACAGAATTATATAATAGAATACACAGAATTTTATACCTGAAAACACAGAATTTTATACCTGAAAATTCTCATGTTTCGAATGTACAGAATTATATAATAGAACGCACAAAATTTTATACCTGAAAATACAAAACTTACCAAAACGAAGTCGTTTTAGGAGGCGCGGAACGATGTACGCCCTGATGCACAATATAACGATTGGGTTGTGCTAAGGTAAGATATCACATCTTTTAATTTGATGGGTCGTCAATTAATCATGGATAGTTAAAGAAATTTGTTTTTTTTTTTTAATAATTATTTTTTTCACACAACCAATTATAATGAAATGCGTCAATGGACAGAAATTCCTCCTTCACCCCTTTCAATAGCTTACTTTACACACACATAACGGATTAGGTGCGAAAAAGTGAAAAAATAAGGTTTAATCTCATCCATTGATTCAATTCAAATGAAAAGTTCGAAATGAAGATATTTAAAAAAAAAAAAAAAAAAAAAAGCAGTGGTATTATGATAATTTTGTGTAAGTTATTTTTTTGTTATTCGGTGTAATTTTTTCTTTCTTTCAGTGCACATTGTTGTATCTTATACAACATACAATTTTTCCCTTTGAATACACATTGTTCTACCTTCCAATGGACATTGTTGCCTTCCCGTGCGTGCCTTGCAGTACACATTATTGTGTCTTTCAGTGCACATTTTTGAAACTCGTATGTGTCAATTTTTTTTTTTAAAGAGCAGTTATATTGTTTGTGTATGATTCATTTATGATTTGTGTTAGTTGAAGATCATGTATTGAATTTAGTCTTTTCAATAATTGTTTCATCTTTGTGCCTTCCAGTGTATATTATTGCCTTCTAGTGCACATATTTGTGCCTTTTAGCGCACATTTATTAAGATCGTAGGTGTCAGATTTTTTTTTTTTTTAAAGAGCAGTTGATCTTGACTGAATCACTAATTACTAATTTGAGTTGAATTTTGTATTACTCGTTTGATTTGTAATCGCTTATGATTTGTCTTGAAGATTTTGTATTGGATTTAGTCTTTTTAATAATTGCTTCACATTTTTGTGACTTCCAGTACACAATGTTGCCTTTCAGTGCACATTGTTGTGCCTTTTAGTGTAAATTTTTGAAGATCGTAGGTGGCGAATTTTTTTTAAAGAACAGTTGATCTTGAATGAATCAATGGCAAAGATTTATCTGTATTTTTCACTGGTGCTCCTTCGCATATATATATATATATATATATATATATATATGGTTTAAATGCGACGCTTTGTTCCCGTGCGGATTACACCATTATGTATGCACCAATGCACCATAAAGTGTTCAGAAATGCACCAGTGTGAATTGCACAAATGCACCATAAAAATGCACAATTATAGAACGTGCGGTCATGCACCATTAGGTATGTATAAATGCACCACAAGATGTTCAAAAATGTAGGTGTCGATATGGTAGCTGGAGCAGTTGGAGGAGTTGAGTGTTGGTAATGTAGCACACTAGGAAGCTTAGAGATATTGAGTGCCTTTGGAAATGATAGTGAGAGATGTTTACACTATTTTGTCGCTGGTTGATGTTATCGTGGTGATCAAATTGCTATTCAAAGCACTATTCCTTATTAATATGTGCCCTTAATCAGCGCTAATTAGAGGATTAGGATGATTTGATCATAGTTATATATTGTCTTATTTCAATGGATTAGATTATATCACATTTCTCGAAACTCAAGTGTTATAGAATTGTTTCAAATAATTCAATTAAAACTTGACTATATTAGTCTCACCTTACAAAATGTGAATATTAATTTTGTATGCCTTAATTTTTTTTAACATGATTTCCACATCCTCAATCGTGTTACCGTTTTTGTATTTGATCATTGTAGGGTCCATCAAATTTTAAATAATTTATAAATATTCAGATAACATCATTTACTTGGAAGTAAAGAACAAAAACAACAATTTAACAACAATTTCTTTTGGTGGGGATAATGGTACTTTATTATAATCTGTATACCAAAATGTAAATTAAGTATTCAAACACCAAAAGATATTAAAACCAATTCTTATTCCTTATAATAAAAAAAATAAAAATAAATAAATATATAACATTTGTAACATTCTAACAACTCTCTTTTTCTTTTATTGTGCAATGCCAAAATTGCGCAATTATTACTCGAGACAATAATAATAATAATAATAATAATAATAATAATAATAATAATAATAATATTGATAAAAGTCAAATTCATAATTTTATAATACGAGAATCGGGTTTCATTCACTCGATCATTTCTTTTGGGCAACATTCTAACTACTCTTGAGTTAATGGGTGTTTGAAAGACACAATAGCTGTTTTTAGCATCTTTGTTTGTATTGCTAACTATGTCCTCAATAGATTTTTTTAAGTATGACGGTCTCTATTACAGTGTAGTATTCTATATTTATTTATATATACTTTCTCAACATATTAAAACACAAAGAGTCAATACCTTATTAAGGTTTGAACATATAGGCCCTGTTTGGTAAATAGTTAGCCTATCAGCCAATTTTGACTTATTTGACCACTATTAATAGTTTGATTTGGTTAAAAAATCAATATAAATATTTGGTTAATTAACTTTTTGCAACTTTACAATGCTAAAATACAAAAAGCTGCTCTGAGCAGCTTTTTCAATAAACTTTTAAAAAAATAAAAATTATATCAAATAGCTATCAGTTAATAACTAATTTACCAAACATCTTTTTACAACCAATTAATATTATCAACTAGTTATACCCTCTAATTAATCCAATTAACTAACAACTAACCTCCATTTACCAGATTATAATCTCCTATTTGATACAACCAGAGATGCTGACTATGTCATCACTAGATTTGTTTTCATAGTATTTCAAGAAAAAGATAAGAAAATAAAAAAAACATTTTCCTTTCTTAATTTATGCTAACTAACTCTCTCCATTTCTCTCTCCTCCAGTGGGAGAAGATGAGTGAAGCCACAAGCCAGCTCACTGTTAGCACCTCACTCCCATTCCAACCCGCTGCTCTCTCTCTCTCTCTCGCTCTCTGCGTTTCTCTTTCTATTTCTCTTCAATTCCTGCAATAATTTTCAAAGCCATTTCGCATTAAATCCAACGTTCTGAGCTTGACCCACAATTTCCAGCTCACAGGCTCAGAGCTGCTGTTTTGGGGGGTCTGGAGCTTCCCATTTCCTTCCAAATGCAGTTACTCAACATGGGTTCCATTAATTTCATTGCTATTTCCGATCCGGAGAAGCTACACAGCAGTAATTTCAGCTTCCCAGCTCGGCATTCCTTGTAAAGATTACTCAGACAACAAGGGTTTTCTGCAAATGCTCCCAGGTAATACTCGCTTTGAGCTCTGCTGAAATTCCGTTATTTTATTTTGTATTTTCCGTTTCTTTGGGTCGGTTTGAACTATTGGGAGCTTTGGTTGCAGATCTGAGTTAAGACTAGCTGCAATTTGTTCTTGTTTGTGTTTGGTTGATTATATGGAGCTTGGTGTAATTAATGATGTTTTGACAAGTCTTGCTTTTTCGATTTCGTACAAATTATCTGTATGCCATCTGAAATTATGGGTGGAGTGCTTGGGATTAATGGGATATTGGCTGTTTAACACCCCCACCTAACACATTCTGAATCGAATTTAGCTTGAAATTTGGTAAGAATTAAGACTTTTCTGCACCCCCACCCACCCACACACACACACAGCATTTTTCTCCTAGGTTTTGCTTGTAAACTGTAGCTCTTCTTAGAGTAGGCTGTTTGGTATGTCAGCCTCGTCCACTGAGGGACTTAGCGAATTTTCGAATATTCCTAGGGCTCGTAGGCAGCCAGCCTCGCCCACTGAGGGACTTGGCAGTCTTGGGTATTCCTCGGGCTCGTAGGCAGCCAGTCTCGCCCACTGAGATAGTCTTGCTTGATGAAGTTCAACACTTCAACATGGTTATGTAATGTGTGCGTGTGCTATTTTTCATTTTTGTCATATATAGGTGTCTTGAGGCATTGTTCTCCTGTTTTATTTTATTTTATTTTATTTTAGGGTGTAATGATTTATCTATTGGTTACATTTGCATCCACTTCCTTCTGAAATAATCATTTTGGTGACTTTTTGGTGTAAAAGTTATTGGAAAAAGCATTTCGCTTTGCTTTTCCACTCCAAGTTGCTTTTTTTTTTCTTTTGCATATGGATATTGGTTTTGTGATTTGAAAGCTTTCTGGGCAATACATAAATGGGGAATATGCCCTACTTTTGAAGTTCAAATTCTGAAAGCTGAGAGGGATTTTAATTGTGAAATTCCAGTAGAATTGGTTATTATTTTTCTCGAATTTTACTTTTTATAAACCTAGTATCTCTGTTCCTGTTAAAAAGGCCACCAGGACAAACGTGTTTATGATTTCATTCATACTCTTCTATGTTTAAGTGTTTGTTTCTCTCCCATGCCAATGTAAAATCTAAATGTGCTCCTATTAATGATTTCTTGTGAACTGTGATTAATACTTGGTGCTTTGCTTTATGAACTCTACATCGTAAAATGATACCTTGTTATCTGAAATCTGAATTGACTATATGCGTAGAGTATGGGTACTAAGAGTCATATTATGCCCTTCCTATAGAAGTGAAAAAAGAAGTTTGCCTTTGTATTTTTTTTCGGGTTACGAGGGAAACCCGCAGTCACTACCTGAGGGTGTGCACTGGGGTAAACCCCGCCTTGTGACCCTATCTGGCAAAAGACACAAGGAGGTAAACCAGCCTAGGTTGTCCATAGCTGACCGGCTCAGACCAAGAAGGTTGGGATTCGAACTTGTGACCTTGTGGTTACAAGTTTGTATCCTTAGCCATCTTGGTTGGGGTTACCCCCCAGATTTTCTGATATTTCATTGTGTAACATGGATGCTCTAAGCTGAATCAATACACAAATGATTCATCTTAATAAACTATGTGATCACTGGCTCCCCTATTTCTTTGTTTTCTAACTTTTTTTCTTGCAAATGCTTTGTCCTGCTCACTGGCTCATGGTTATTATTAATTTTTTTTGAATATTTATTGCTTGTTATTCCTGCCTATATCAAATGGTTTAATCTATTGTCTGTATTGTCACAGGAAAGTGTCGGTGCAATTACCTCATGAAAATGTTCTCCGCCTACAAATTGCTTTGTTTTCTTTTTGTTCTTACAACTCTTCTTCCCCTGGCAATTGGAGATCTAAAGTCAGATGAACAAGCTCTTCTTGCATTTGCTGCCTCTGTTCACCATGGTCGCAAAATTAACTGGAATCCTGGAATCCCTATCTGCTCATCTTGGGTTGGCATTAATTGTAGTAGTGATGGAACCCGTGTGGTCACTGTTCGACTTCCGGGAGTTGGACTCACTGGTACAATCCCTGAAAATACCCTTGGAAAATTAGATGGTTTAAGGATTCTCAGTCTTCGAGCCAATCTCCTAAACGGGACTCTTCCTTCTGACCTCACTTTGCTTCCCGCTCTCCGCAACCTCTTCCTTCAACATAATAACTTATCTGGTCAAATACCAACTTTTTCTCATCAACTGAGCATTCTCGATCTTTCATATAATTCCTTCAGCGGTAGCATTCCTTCGATGATTCAGAATCTGACCCAACTCACTGCACTGTACCTCGAGAATAACTCTCTCTCTGGATCTATACCTAATCTCGCACTTCCAAGGCTGAAGCATCTGAATTTAAGTTACAACCATCTTAACGGTTCTATCCCATCGACCCTTAAAAGGTTTCCCAATTCATCGTTTGTAGGAAACTCTTTCTTATGTGGATTACCTTTAAGTCCGTGTTCCCCTCTTCAACCTCCATCCATTGGCCCCAGTGCCTCTTCACCACCTGTTGATCACAGTCACAAGAAGAAACTTAAACTAGGATATATTATTGCCATTGCAGCAGGTGGAGCAGTGGTACTCTTTCTACTAGCTCTAATAATTTTCTTGTGCTGCCTGAAGAGAAAAGCAAGTGATGGCCGTGTACTCAAAGGAAAGCCCTCTGGTGGAGGAAGGAGTGAGAAACCCAGCGAAGAATTTGGTAGTGGGGTCCAAGAGCCAGAGAAAAATAAGCTGGTTTTCTTTGAGGGCTGCTCGTACAATTTCGATCTTGAGGACTTATTGAGGGCGTCAGCAGAAGTGCTTGGAAAGGGGAGCTTTGGGACGGCATACAAGGCTATTCTGGAGGAGTCAACAACAGTGGTCGTTAAACGGTTAAAAGAAGTGATTGTAGGGAAGAAGGACTTTGAACAACAGATGGAGATCATAGGTAGAGTTGGACAGCACCCAAATGTTGTTCCTTTGCGTGCTTATTATTACTCCAAGGATGAGAAGCTCCTAGTCTATGATTATTTTTCAAGAGGCAACTTGGCAATGCTTCTACATGGTATGGTTTACTGATTCCTTTCCTTAATGTTCCTCGTTGTGATGGAATAATATGATCTGTCTGGCTCTGATACCAAATTGAAGCATATGCTCTATCTCAACTAAAAGCCTAAGCTGATAGTTGGATTGCACATTAATGGTTATATGCTCAATAATCTATACTTTCTCAACCTGTTGAAGCACAAAGAGTCAACCCCGCCTCCACTGAGGCTCGATCTCATGACCTCCCATATGGAAGAGTCAACTATCTCCTAATTTCTGATTCTGTTTTCCTCTAATATTCTCATTATTCCATGTTTTTTTAAAAACAGGAAACAGGGCTGCTGGGAGAACTGCTTTGGACTGGGAAACAAGAGTTAAAATAGCCCATGCAGCAGCAAGGGGGATTGCCCATATCCATTCCATGGGTGGTGCCAAATTCACTCATGGAAATATAAAATCCTCAAACGTTCTCATCAACCAAGATATAGATGCTTGTGTCTCTGATTTTGGTTTAGCCCCTCTCATGAATTTCCCTGCAGCTCGGTCTCGGCATCCTGGGTACCGTGCTCCCGAGGTGATTGAAACACGGAAGCACACACACAAGTCAGACGTGTACAGCTTTGGCGTGTTATTACTAGAGATGCTTACTGGGAAACAGCCCGTTCAATCACCTGGCCGTGATGATATGGTTGATCTCCCGAGGTGGGTTCAGTCGGTGGTTAGGGAAGAGTGGACTGCAGAAGTCTTTGATGTTGAACTGATGAGGTTTCAAAACATTGAAGAAGAGATGGTGCAGATGCTGCAAATTGGCATGGCGTGCGTTGTAAGGGTTCCAGATATGCGACCCAGCATGGATGAAGTTGTTCGGATGATCGAAGAGGTCAGGCAATCTGACTCTGAAAACCGGCCATCTTCTGAAGAGAACAAATCTAAGGACTCAAATGTGCAGACCCCTTGATTCTTTGGACATGTTCATTCTCCTGTTTCTGAGTTCTGACCTGTAAGTTGTGGAAGTCGTTTCGTTTCGTTCTAATTCAATTCAAAGGCCCATTGGCGAATTCATGGTGTATATGCTCAGTGAAGTGAGGATTTGGAGACTGAATTTACTGATTGATTTTCCTTTTAATTTCTTAGACAGTTTAGCCATTCATCATCAATCATCATTACCTTGTTCAGAATTGCCTTTGCTTTCATCATCATTTGTTGTAAAACCCCATTGTAGAAAACCATCAACAGCTGATTGATGATCTTTTCTCTAGAGTCCTTTTGACAAGAAATGTTGGTGCAACATTATTTTTTTTTTCCAGTAATAACTCATTTTATTGTGAAAGTGAATCAATCCTATATTAGGCTTGTTTCCAGTTTGATACGGTTGAATAGATGGGTTTGAGTTAGAATGGAATGGTAATTTTTTAATATAAGATTCTTAGAACAGAATTTAAGAGCTCAAAATGCAGTGACAAAGTAAATTCATAACAAACTTCTCAGTATAAGCTTTGCTTGACAGAGTTTATAGCTTATTTTAAGTTACTAATAAGGTAATATTCTCAAAACAAGCTAGTAGTTTAAAATAAGAGCTTATTTTGAAACCATTAGCTTAAAATAAGAGCTTATTTTGAAACATTACAAATTAAGTATTGTTTCAAAAATAAGCTAGTAGCTTCTTAATTTTTTTTCGACCTTTATCCTTATTATTTTAAATAAATAGTATTTTTTATCCTTCATAATTAAAACTCATTTGGCATTTTAAATAAATCCATTATGCTTGAATATTTAAAGCTTACTGTGCTGACTTTTTTTCATGAAAATGAATCCATTATGCTTAGATTTTTTTTCTCTGGTATGTTACTGTGCTTGGAATTGCCCATGATGTGTGTATTGTCGAAATTTTTAGTTTTTTAATATATATGATAGGGTTATTACTAGACCGTATACCAGATGGTCGGTTACGAACCCTCTACCCTCGGGGACCATGACCCGACCTGACGGTAGCATGTTCCTCAATCTCCCAACCACTTTCTCTTTCCCCGGTTTCACTGGAGAATGACTCTGCAGGTCGCCTAGGGGTTGGTGGGAGGACTGATCTAGCGAGGTTGGTACGGGCAGTTGAACTCCATTGTGGTATTGTCTTGTCAGGAATATCACACCACGTGTCTTGAACCCTTTTGGCCCCAACCTGGGCCTATGCATGAGCATCACGTGCCTTCCATGCCGAGGGCTCGGAATTTGTCCCCTCACCTCTCCTATAAATACCGCATTTATTACTGAGAGAGGGGGCTTTTCACCTATTTCATATCAGTACTATATGCTCGGAGATTACCGACCTACTGTCTGAGGATCCTGAGCTTGAGTGCTTTCATCAACAAGAAGTTAAGAATAGGATCTGAGATCAGAACCGACCTAGGATCGTATAGTATAATCACGTATACCATCGTATATACTATATCATTTTGGTGCCGCTGGGACCGGTACGCAACAGGCCATTTAGCTCGCCTCTACCGACACTTGATCTCAACAACCTGTATAGATCTCAACAGCATTTCGAGTAGAGCGCCTCCACCCGAGTCTGTGAACGTGATCCAGTAAGGACTTGCATTCCCAGCGGCTGTGATCAAATGCCTTACTAATACCCGATGTACCTGAATGGGATGCCTGATCCCGCATTTCAATGGTAGCAGAGCCAACCTAGATTTTATACTCCGACTTGTCCTTTCAAACCGGTCTCAGGAGTCTATCCCCCGCAAGTTTACATGCCTGTGCCTAATCCTCCCAACGTCGTCCTAGTAGGCAGGACGTGAACAATTTTTATCAGCTTGTATAAAATTTTGATATATAATTTGACACATCACTACCTCACCCATAATATGTATCTATATAAGCATTAACATTTTAAAATCAATTATATTAAATGTCAACTCATTAATTTGATTTGTTTTACCAAAAACATGTAAATAAAAAAAATGCTAATTACACAATTTTTGTGTGTTATCTTAATTGTATATTTTTTTATTTAATAATTTAATTACACCATGTATAAAAGTTTACTGGTCTATTTAACATTTTTTCTTTAATAAGAAACACATGAATTGTGTTGAGGAAAGAACATTGCGCAATGGTTTTGGTATCGTATTCCACCCCAACGGCAGAAATGGAGTAACGGGTCCACGCGGGTCGGCAAGTGTGGAATCCCGAATCCGAATCCGAATTGGGTATTTGCCGTTGATTGGACGCCAATTATGACCTCACACCGATGATTCCAGAACACGTTTGTGGGCCCCATCCCCGCATTAAACACCCAAATATCCTTTCGAATTTACCCCATTTTTCCCCCCTTCTTTCAGAGGATTGACCCGAAATCTATTTCCGGCCACCGCCCCAATTTCAATCGCTCCTCCCTATTCCGCCGTCAGGTACCCAACCATCCTACATATTATATATATCTGTTTATGCGCGTGTATTTTTTATTTTTATTTTTATTTTTATTTTTCATATGTGGTTGAATCTATAAGTCAACGAGATTTTTGTTTTGTTTTTTTGTTTTTGTTTTTTTTTTTTTTTTTATTTTTATTTTTATTTTTATTTTTATTTTGTCGTTGCTCTGTGAATCAGCTGTGTTGGATAGATTAGATCTTTAAATTCGTTTGGTTCTTTATTTTAGGGTTTGTAGTTTGAGTATTGTTGACCAATAGGTTGGTCTATCTATTTTTAGCTATTTGTTTGTATTTTATTTTATTTTAATAGTGTGGGTTGGAGATCTGCTGGTACTGACCAAGGGTATTTACTCTGATTAGGTTATAGCAACCACAAAAGAGCTTTGAAGGTGGTCTTGATTAACTTATGGCGTCGAAACGCATATTGAAGGAGCTCAAGGATCTGCAGAAGGATCCTCCAACATCATGCAGCGCTGGTATGCTTTGAATGCATTTAAAAAATAATTTTTTTTAAAAAAAAATTTGCATTATAGAATCTTGTATTTTGATATCTGTTTATGTTGTATGAAATTCTTAAGTTTGGTTTTTAATTTTGTCTTAATTTAACTTACTGTAGTTTTAGGCTTTCTGGTTGTATCAATCGATTGGAATTGAGTGTTATACATTGAAATTTATTGCAAATCCTATTTGTTGCAGGTCCCGTTGCAGAAGACATGTTCCATTGGCAAGCGACGATCATGGGGCCAACAGATAGCCCTTATGCGGGTGGTGTGTTCCTGGTTTCAATTCATTTCCCTCCCGATTACCCTTTTAAGCCCCCTAAGGTATGTCTTTGGTCTGGATTTCATTTTCTTTTCTCAGAGATTGTATTTAGGTTATTGAATGTGGAGCTTATTGTCGCCCACCAATGGTTGATAACTGGATAAGTGTACTTTCAGTTAGAGATATGAAAATATTTTTATCCTCAAAGATGTGGCAATATAATTTTATGTAATTTCTGGATACAAAATTAAGCTTGATATCGTTTGTGCCACTTGCATATTCAGAACTACTCTCCACCTATGCATATTACTCCAAATAAACGTTAATAGAAACTTTTGCGTATCCTTCACAATATTCCCTATGGTATTCTAGAATATATTTGAAGTTTTAACAAATCTCAGTGTATACTGCTTATGGCATCCTAGAATGCTCTGTGTTTTGTAGTTACAAACCACAGAATTTACGATTTCATATGAGGTTAGTGGATTTAGATAATTAAATTGTCTTTTATCTTTTTCAGGTTGCCTTTAGAACCAAGGTCTTTCACCCAAACATCAACAGCAATGGAAGTATCTGCCTTGATATTCTTAAAGAGCAGTGGAGTCCAGCATTGACCATATCTAAGGTGTGCTCTACTTCCTCTTATTTTTTATTTGGAATTTTTATTCTTCTTTAGTCCTATGCAGATAAGCCAGTGTCATCATTACTCTTGGACAAAAAGAAGACGCCTCGGGGACAATTTTAAAAATTAAAACCGAAAGATTTGGGGATTAGACTTGTTCCATGCACATCTCACTTCATGTGCTTGCAGAAACACGTGTGACCCTAGAATAGTAGTAGTTATTGATTGATATTTCTATGATGTTGGCATAGCATTCCTCCCTCTTGTAGTTTTTTGCCTTAAAAAGTATAAACATCTCAAAGGGTAACAGTGGGGTGTTTCTGATAAAAGTTACTCTGTATAACACAACTTTGGAAATCCATTCATTTTGGATTTTGATTGGAGTTTTCCTCCTCTCATTTGAATGTGTAGCCTGATTGTGGTTTCATATTTATTTGATCAGGTCCTCTTGTCCATCTGTTCTCTATTGACGGATCCAAACCCGGATGATCCACTCGTACCCGAAATTGCTCACATGTACAAGACTGACAGGGCCAAATACGAGGCCACTGCTCGGAGCTGGACGCAAAAGTACGCAATGGGATAAAGGCGAAATGCTACCGGGGATGTCCTCCAAATATGTGTAACTTATGTGTTTTTAATTTTTCATTATTCTTGATTCAATAAGTTGTTCGCAAGGAACGTAGTAGTTTGTTCTTGTCCCATTGCCCCCTGATTTGAGGAGGCAGTGGTTAATTGGTTATGAATCTTTTAATTTGTGAATATATTAATATTAATTAGACAGAGATTGATGTAAGGGGAAACTGTATTGTAATGTCTACTTTGGTTTCAAGCTTTTTTTCACTTAAGTTTACAGAACATCATTTCTATGTTTCTCCTTGTTAGGCTCTGTTTGTCAGTTATCATGAATTTGAGAAGGTATGGTCATTCTCTCTCTCTCTCTCTCTCTCTCTCTCTCTCTCTCTCTCTCTCTCTCTCTTTGTGGGAAGTACAGATCAGTTACAGAGAAACATTTATGGTTTTTGTATAAACATGATACTAATGTCTCTCATTTACGTACAATAGTGAAAATGTAACCAAAGACTGTCATCTTTTGTGGGAGCAAACTTGAGAAAACCAACGAAGACATCCGTAAAGTTTAATTCATGGATGATGGGTACAAACTCACTCCTGTAAAGCCTGCAGTTGATGACCACAAACACAAACAAGAATCCATTAACAACCTAGAAATTGAAAAAAATCAGGCTTTACTCTATTATGTGTTTGCAGTTAACTTATTTTGTGATTGAAGTTAACAAAATGAATTTTGTGATTGAAGTTAACAAAATGATAACTACAGACACTACCAGTACAAAATATGTTAACTTTTTGCTGGTTTAGATGTTATTTTGGATCAGGTCTACAATGCAAGGTAGGTTATGGTCGATGGTATAATTTGGAGTTGATTAGAGCATGAGCGGCAAAGTATCTTGTGCTCAGATGACAGTGACTCTCAAGCCTCAGTGGAGGGCAATTAAAAAAGTATGTATAAACAGATACTACAATGTAATAGAGTTAGTAGTTTTCAATCGAAAAAAAAAAAAAAAAAAAAAAAAAAAAAAACATAATTGAGCGTGATGGTTGTTACCCTTATTTGTGTGGCAGCCTTGGTGGATGGTTTGGCGGAGGTGTTGGACGGTGGCCTTATTGGCGAACCAAAAGTGGCGGTTGGTGTCGCGGATGCAGTCCAAGACGGACGTGATTTGATGAGCGCAGGGGCTAGAACAGAACTCCGTTCCGTCTTCTTTGGTTACGTTGAGCCACCCGGACAAGTCCAGCTCGTACTTTTTGGGGCAAGAATTAGTGTTCTTGAACTGAAATAATTTTTTTTTTTTTTTTCAAAATTAGAAACCGCATATAAATAAATTATTCCAGAAATTAGAAAACAAAAGAATTAGATAACATATAGATTACATGAATCATGCAGAAAAAAGCACTTCTCCACTCCTCGAATGGGCCCAAATTTGGTTTTTGCGTGGGATTCTTAAAATCTGCAGACATGAACAGATCAAAAAAAAAAAAAAAAAAATGGAACCTTTAAATTGATAGTTGGCTTACCCATTTAAAACCGAACCTATTTATTTTTTATATATTATATGCTTAATATACACCAAATAAATTTTGGTTGCATTTGATATGAGACTTTTGTACCTTCCGTAAGATTTGATACCTATTATTATGTTTATTTGTCTATTTCTGTAATTGATTCAAATTTTTAATAATTATAAAATACATTACACTTTGTCTCTCCTACTTTTGAACAATAGAATTAAAAGTACTCTTTGTTTTCTCTATAAATTTTGCCATTGATCAAATATTTGAAACCCAAGGAAAACAACGTATTTTTCAAGTAAAATATATAGACCATGTTTGATAAAATAATTAACTTATCAGCCAATTTTGCCTTATTTGACCATTATTAATTGTTTGACTTAATTAAACAATTAATATGAGTGTTTGATTAATTAATTTTTTGTAACAACTTATTGCTTCAAAATGTTAAAATTTGAAAAGATATTCAAAATCTTTTTCAAAAAACTTTTTGAAAAGTCATTTTGTATGTAATCCCCTAACAACTAACAGTTAATTTACTAAACATTTTTCTACAATCAGCTAATGCTATCAACTACTCAAATACACTAACCCAATCAACTAACAACCATTTATACATCCACTACGATAGCCAAATACATTAATTACCTAGTGCAATGGCACCACAGCTGCAAAGCAAAAGCAAGAAGCAAAGCTGCAGGGTGTTCATCATTACAATACCCTGAGATTTTCCTTGTCTAATTCTCAGGATGTTGTTAGGTATATCACACTATGAAATGAAATCCAATATATTATATAGTGTGAAAAGATGAGAGCATGAGAAGAAGCAGAAGGGACAGGGATCTCCAAAAACTAGGTAACGCTTTGTCGCCACATCATTTTCTTAGGAATTCACCAACAACCCTAACCATGTTATCATCGAATGTAGTTTGGCTCTGTTATGTATATATTCAGCCCAAACCAGGGTTTCAACTTCATTTTCTTTTCGGTGTAACCTAGAGTTTCACGGTCAGACACTGTAGCTAATTTTTTTTGTTGAATTGTAAGTATCTTTAAGGATGGTTTAGTTAAGGACGACAGTGTAACTAATCTTTTTGCTGAATTGTAGGTATCTCTAAAGGTGGGACAACTGACTTAGAGATTTAAGGTTGCTCGCCATATTTAAAACCGAAGATTGATCCCTTTATGTTTAGTTAAGGATGACATTGTAACTAATTTTGTTACTGAATTGTAGCTAGGTATCTTTAAGAGTGAGACACAACTGGCTTAGAGATTTAAGGTTGCTACATATCCAAAGCCGAAGATCAATCCCTTGATGTTTAGTTAAGGATGAATGAGCAATATTCACTCAACGACACCCGGCCCCTTAAGTTTTAACTTAATTGATGTAACTTTTGGATATTGGTTGCGCAATTTATAGTAAATCAAATGATCTCATTCATTGTTGTTGTTCCCAAATGATCTCACTCATGCAAGTATCAATCATTATTCCATGGACCATGGTCCACATATTTGTGTGAACCAAAATAAAAAGTACATTTTTTTTTTCGAAAAGAAAAAAAAAACATTTTTAATATGCTAAAAATACATTATTTGTATGCATAAAGTACATCATTTGAAAATATATAATTTTTTTATATATATATTATCAAATAATGTATATTCAGTACACAAATAATGTGATTTTCGTATATTAAAAATGTATATTGCTTTCATGGTCCACACAATAATTTGCCTACAACAATCATTATACCATGAGCCATGGTCTACGTTGCAAGGTGGACTACTAATATACATTTTCACTTTTAATATATTAAATACTTATTTTAGTGTTATATTTATTTTTTAAAGATTTATTATTTTTTGTATACTGCAAGTGCATTTGTAACATATTATTTAAAAATAAATATTCAATATATTAAAAATGAACATTTATTTTTATTTTTTTAAATAAGCATCTATCAGTAGTTCACTTCACAAAACCATAATTTAGTGCGTTTGGTTGATGGGTTTTGCCCATAGGAATGTGTATGAAAGTGATTATTATTGTTTGGTTGATAGGTTTTTAGAACACTATTATGGGTTTCAAATACCCCCATCAATTGGAAAACTTATACCCAAATAAAATAAAGATTTCATTCCCTTATTCATTCTTAAGCACTACTATTAGTAATTATTCTCCTTCTACCCTACTACCAAACATGTTAAATACTTTCATCAAAACCCATTATCATTACCAAACATTTGATACCCATTCCGATTCTCATTCCCATGTGTGAACCAAACACACCCTTACATATAATTTGTTTGTTTCACATGGGCACCCATTTCGTTAGTAGTCAATTTACCAACGATCTCAAATTAATTTGTTAATAACTTAGGATGTTTGGTTCACACATGAGAATGTATCAAATACTTGGTAATAGTAATGAGTTTTTAATTTGGTGAAAGTATTTTGCATATTTGGTAGTAGAGTAAAATATGAATGATTATCAATATTATTGTTTGATTATTGTATTAGAGAATGAGTTTTTCGATTAAGGGGTAATCAAAACCTATTATAATGTTCTCAAAATATGTTAACCAAACAAAAACAATGACTTTGATATATATTCCTGATAACTAAATCTGTGAACCAAACAATGACTTTTGGGTATTGCATTTGGTAGGCATGACCATCTTTGATTGAAAAAAAAAAAAAAAGAAAAGAAAAATATACGGAGTACCAATTTTGTTTTCCTAATAGAATAACAACATGTCAACACGTGTGGACGTTTTTTATTGGTATACATATCATTTTCCTTTTTACTCATCATCTAAAAATGGAATGTTGTTTAATTATTTTACATTTTTTTAATACTATGGACTCTATTATAAAGTAGTATATGTTCTATATTTTCTCGTCAATACCCACTACCTAAATTCGATCCTATGACCTTTCCTTAATAGGAGCCACAAATGTGTCATCTAAATACAAGATGCTTGGCTAATTATTATTTTACACGGGTTGAAGAAGTGTAGTTTAAATTCATCCATATATATCACCAAACATGTCCTTACTCCATGCATGTTCCATGCATATTTTACTAATGTTAGCATTAAATAATGAAAAAGAATAGCCTATCAATGATAAGTCAATCCATGTTAAACAGTTTTGGTCGAGTCCTTCTTTAGTTGAATCCAGATCAGTCTCACACGGATTGAAATATATATATATATATATATATATATATATATATATATATATATATATATATATATATATATATATATATATATAATATGAAGAAAAATTTAAATGGTAAAATTTTTATAACCTGTATTAATTTTATTGGAGAAAGTAAATATAAGAAATAAAAACTATGATTCACTTTTTTTTTTAGATTAATCATACCATATTACTTTAATTTTTTTAAAAAGAATAAAAAGTGAGTACTCTTACCGCTGGTTTGGGTTGCAAAAAAAAAAAAAAAAAAAAAAAAATTATGATGACTGAAATTTAAATTCCTTTAAAAGGAATATAATTAACGTATAATTTTTAATTTTGTTGTTTAGTTAGAGAAAATGTATTACTAGAAATAATTAGTATAAATACTCAAACATTCCTACATAATAAATGTATGTGATCATAATATTGTCCATCCATTAAGATCACTTTTTCTTCCCAAAATGATGATAAATTCAGAATACCAAGAAACCAATGAAATTCTAATTCTTTTTTTTTTTTTTTTAACACATGTTCTTTTACTTTGTCGAATTTATGCCGTGCATCGCACGGGGCAAAAACTAGTTATATCTTAAAACTCATAAATCTACTCTCAAGTTAAGAATGGAAAAATGTAAAATGTAGATAGGATGTGGTCCCTGTGTCTCGCCGGCATAATTGAACCTGCGGCGGTAGTGGCATGTTGTGTTCTGGTGAACACAAATTTATTATTATTATTATTATTATTATTATTATTATTATATTATTATTATTATTATTAATTATTAATTTCTCCTCCCCTCTTTATACTCAGTCGTTTGTGGTCCTTTTCAATGCCAAACCACCTCAGATAGGATTTTGTTTTGTTTTTTTTTTGTTTGTTTGTTTTTGTTTTTTGAAATACTTTGTTTTTTTACAAGGTAGTATCTGTTATATTCTTTCTCAAATATTTGCATTCCAAAAAATTTAAGCCTCCACCATTGGGTTCGAAGCTATGACTATCTATTTGAAATGATAATCTAGATACTATCATACTATATGGTAGTATTTAATTCACTGCTCCGCTACAGTTAATTTAGGTAATGGGATTCATTTCCATATTAATCACATTTTTAGTATCTCTTATGCATATTCATAGGAAGCCAATTGATGTGATGATTTTTTTTTTAATACTACTAACTCTATTACAATGTAGTATCTGTTCATAACTATTTTCTCAACCTAATGAAGCACAAAGACTCAATATCGCCTCTACTGAGGCTCGAACCCATAACCTCCCACATAAGGGAGCAACTTGGTGTCATGTGATAATTAGATATGTATATCTTTAAAGATTCATTTTTAATATATTATTTAAAAATGAACATGTAATACAATTAAAAATAAATATTTAGTATATATTAAAAATAAACATTTATATGTGATCTATCAATAATTTGTCAAAAATTAGAATGAAGTTATTTTGTGGTTAGATGAGGAAAAAGATGGGTATGAATTGAAATATGAAAGAAGACAACATTTATGTGTGCGTTGGTGTGTTAGGTTGCAATCAAACGTAAGCAACTAAGCTTTTGGTGTTAGGTTGCAACCCATTTTGACGTTTGGTAGCTGGGCGTAGTTGGTGGGCAGATGACTCCTTCCTCTTCTCTCTGCTCTATTATTTTTATTTTTCATTTAATCACTTTTGACTTTTTTTTTTCTTTTTCTTTTTGAGTGAAAAGGAAAATTCGTACTCATTATCTAATGGTGTGCATTATTTAAGAATAATTGGGATGGACGTGAAGGTCAAAGATCGAGTCAGGCATGTTGCGTAACTGACTTGGTGATTAAAGGTATCGGTAAGTGTTGGGAGGGGGATTATTGAGCGTTCGCCGGGTTAGACGAGTTCAGCCCATGCTCGATTCGAGACGTGGTGTTGTGACTTACCATGAAGGGATGTGGTTAAATGGTTAATGTTCACCTACTTATCACGAATTAGTTTTAAGTAGGATATGTCAACCAGATAGCCAAAGAACTCTGTGGTTAAGCGTATTTGATTATATACCCAACGTGATTTTTCATATGCATTGTGGTTAGGACTCTATGTATTTGAGTTACATTATGACTACCCATCATAGTCTTCCTATGATTCCTCTTGTATATATTCTCCTAGTATGTACAGTTGTAATCAAAGTTCATTCAATACAGTTTTATACAGTTCTCATCTGGTATCAGTTAAGCTAGGGTTTCTTTCGTTCCAATGGCTAACGGACCTGTTCAGTCCTCCGAACGAACCGTTTCTGATGTCGCTATCACGCCTTCCACTAGCATCGTTATTAATTCGCATTTTACTGCTCATCACTTTATCAGTATTAAGCTCACTCATAAAAATTATCTGCTTTGGAGAACTCAAGTCGTGTCGTTTCTTGACGGACACGGTCTCATGCAGCTCGTCGATGGGAGCCACCCGTGTCCGGCTGGCTGCCTTCTTACCCGCCGTCGACGACGCTATTCCTGAGTCCAACCCCGCCTACACGGTGTGGTTTCGTCATGATCGGGCTCTTATGTCAATGTTGATTTCTTCTCTCTCCGAGG